GCTCTGTCCCCTTTCTCTCTCTCTCTCTCTCTCTCTCTCTCTCTCTCTCTCTCTCTCTCTCTCTCTCTCGCTCGCTCGTTGCTCACGCGCCCCTCCACTTTCCCTGCGGTGTTCTGTCCCTGCGCCTCCTCTTCCTCGTACTGTCTGCTGTCCCTGCCTCTGTGTCTGCCTCTGTATGTCCGCTCCAAGGGGTTGACGACTCGAGATCTCTAGCGACAAGATCGAGGAGCCAGCAGCCGCCAGGCGGCCTGCCTGCCCGCACGCACGCACGCCCGCCCTGCTTCCGCCTGCCTGTCTACTACTGGTAGCCGGCCATGCAGCTCGCCCGTCCGACGACGCTCCCGAGCATGGAGCTTGGAGCGTCGAGCAGGCATGAAGCATGCAGCTAGGCAGATAAGCAATCGCGAAAGGAATCGTGGCAGTGCGCAGGGCCGGCGGAGCATTTTGCATTTAATTTTACTTCCCTTTTTTTCTCCGACGGGTATCTCGTCTGTGTCGACGTTCCAAACGCCAGTGTCGCCGACCGTCTCTGCTTGACAGTGGGCGGGTAAACAGAGACACATCAGCTTCGGATTTGGCCGCGGTGCTCGCTCGTCAAGCGACGCCAAAACTCTCTCTCACGATCTTCACTCTCTTCAGAGACAACTGAGCCGTCCACAACCCCCCTCCGCGGCCACCCTTTCTCTCTCTCTCCTGTCTCTTATACACATCTAGATGTGTATAAGAGACAGCCTATGGGCCTTGCCTACGGTAGGCTTGCCGCGACGCGGTTCTCCGAAGTCAGGGGCGGCTTCTAACTGTGCTGGCTAGCGTCGTCCCCCAAATAGAACGCGCGGTCATGATCGCCGCATCTAGACGAGAAGTTGGTGCAAATACGCTTATAATGACCGTGGGTTGTATTCGGGGAACGGGAGGAGGTGGGGTAGAGCTTCCCTCCAGGTAATCGACGGCAGACGGTAAGGGCGCGACTTGAGCGGACAATGGAGAGGGTTATCGAACTTGCCGAGAGCGGGGAGGGTCCCGGAGGGATGGACGGTAGCGCCGGTGGTAAGATCCAGGGGCGGGCGGATGGGCGGTTGGACGCGCGGCGGCGCGATGGGGGGCTAAAAAACTTGCAGGAATGGTATGTCCAGTTCAGGAATATCTAGTGGACTGGGTAGGGCAGGTGCGCGCGCTCCGCGCGCGGCCGTCGACGCCCCCCGCCCAGCGGCCCCGTCCCGACGCCCCCGCCCACGCCCGGGGGGTGAGCGGTTTTTCCTACCGCGGGGTGAGCGGTTTATCTCCAGCTACGGTAGCATACCGGAAAGGATCAAGATCAGTTCTGGCGGAAAGCGCTCTCCCTTCCGCCCCTGAGCAGTCCCGCCCGCCTTCGACGGGGACGACGCTGCGCCCCTTCCTGTCCCGGCGCAGACTGGTAGTTTTTGGCAGCCCCTTGTCCGTCCCCCCCC